TTGTATTTTTTTTTTTTTGACGAGTAGTATAGTAATAATAATAATAATTAAAATTTAAATATCGATTTGTAGTCGTATATATATATATATGTGCATACTAATAATACATTTGATTTTTAACATTTTTTTTTTTTGTTTTTTCACAGGGAGAATTAGAAGAAATACAATTAGAAGTAAAAAATTTATTCAAAAAAATTTTCCCATCAGTTAAAATAGATGAGAAAAAAGTAAGTTGAAAATTTCATTATTTGCACACCTCTCGGTTATTATAAACAAATTTTTTTTTTTTTTTTTTTTTCAACCTCCTTATAATGCATACTTTTTTTTTTCCCCTGATATAGATAATAAGTAAAGACTGGATTAACGAATTAGAAAAAGAATGTTTAAATCATTTGGAAAAATTGAAAGAAGAGAAGGAGAAGAAGGAGGTGGAGGAGGAGGAGGAATCGTCGAAAAAAGACGGGAATAAATTCGATTCGGCGTACGTTGAAGAATTAGAAAATAAAAATGGTCAATTACAAACGTTGGTGGTTCATTATAAAACAATCATCGAAGACACCGTGAGTATTATATTGATTTCCGTTTCCGTTCCCCCTCCCCTCTTCCTCTCACCCTTCCCCCTTCATTTTACGTAATAGATAAAATTTTTTTCTTATTTTTTTTTTTTTTTTTTTATTAGGAACTCATGCTTAATAAATTACAAAAACACGTGGAACAAGAAGAAATTCGATGGCGTCAACAATACGAAACGTTAGAACCACAAATACAAATCCTAAATGAAAAATTATCAACGTCGGAAAATAAAAATGAAAAGGTTCGTTTGAAGTTTTACTACTATTATCATCATTATCATTATTATTATTATTATTATTATTTTTTTTTTTTGTGTTTGTTACAGCTTCAATCTAAAATAAAAGAATTAGAAAGCAACGATAAAACTATGGAATATCAAAAAGAAATAAATAGATTAAGAAAATTATTAGATGGTCAAACGGAGAAATTTAAAACTATGGAAAAAGTAATTAATTTTAATCGTTTGTTTGTTTGTTTGTTTGTTTGTTTTCATTCAAAAAAACAATTTTTGTTTTTATTAACAGGACGTGGAAGCTTTAAATTTAAAATTATCAGAAGAGGAATTAACGAATAAGGAATTAAATAAAGAAATGACAAATTTAAAAGACGAAATAAAAACAAAACAAAATGATTTGGAAGAAGAAAATAAAAAAAGGATAATTTTAGAAGAGGAATTGAAGGTATTTCTTTCCCCCCCCTTCCCCCCCCCCCTCTCTCTCTCTTTCTCTCTAAATTTATTTATTTATTTATTTTTTTTTTGTTTTCAGTTTGTGAAAAATGAAAAATTAAAAGAAAAAACATTGAACAATCCGTCGGATTTTGTAAATATGGAAAAGGTGAGTTTTTTGAAACAAATTCATTTTATTTATATTTGTTATCCGTTGAATGATTCATTTCTTCCCCCTCCCCCATCCACCCACCCACGATTTGTACGGTTTACCCCCTTCATTCATTCATTCATTCATTCATTCACTTTGGATTTATTATTGTTATCATTGTTAATAATTTCACCACCGCTGAGAACCATT